TTTCGATTAAATATTAATATAAATTATGAAACATTGTGGAGCCACCAATTTGGGGCTCCACTTGTACAAAGGGCTCCACTTTGTTTGTGTATGTCTGGTTACTGGCTCTACTTCTACGTCTACACCAACACAGACACACCCACACCCACACACACACACACACACACACACACACACACACACACACACTAACTGCAAAGACTCCCTTTTTGTGCTTTGCACACGGGAGTCAAAAATGTAGGAACAATATATTCTGTTTATCTTAGGAGAGATATAAAAGGTTCATTGACTATCATTTATGATCTGACTGACTGATAGGTTCATTGACTATCATTTATGATCTGACTGATAGGTTCATTGACTATCATTTATGATCTGACTGATAGGTTCATTGACTATCATTTATGATCGGATTGACTGATAGGTTCATTGACTATCATTTATGATCGGATATTATATTTGCGTCTCCTATAAATTCGTGCAATCTACTTTCTAGATTGATCAACTTGTATACCATTAATCGGAATAGATTATTCTTGTTGGCACTTTCAAATCAAGCTGCAGCTTGGAAATGCACCAATTAGCATACAGTTGGTGAACGAACCCTTAACCCAATTTCTACCCAAGCCCAGATATAATTGCATATATCACATGACAGGCACAGCAGTAAATCAAAAGTTCAGATTTTGAGTTTCACTGCATGTTAAATATGCCATAGTCTAGTATAATAATATTTATAGCAACACTTGCAAGTATGTGGTCTATATTTGATAAATAAAACCAGGAAACTCAAAACCCATGGTTGAAACCACAGGGTCTATCTATGTTGAAACTAAACAGGATATAAATTGATCAATAGTTCTGATACAGCTTGTATTCTAATATTTGTTTAGTGTATTTTGGAAATTCTGATTTAAATTAAAATTAAGGTCGTTTTTTTCAGGATGATGTTGCTGTATTTATTTTTCCTTTCCTTTTTTTCAAAATTTTCTTTTTGCACATTACTTTTTCTCCAAATCTACCCCCAATGAAGAACCCTTTAGGCAACGTTAACCATTAAAGTACAATACAAACATAACTGGTGATGTATCATATATGTTTCACAGTTTCCTGTGTGACAGTTTCAAATAATGATCTATTGTTCCCTAAAGTTATTTTGTCATTTTTCTTGACATGTATTTGCATAATATAAATGACGATATCAATATTCTATGTGAAGAAGTTTCCATTACAATTTGTCTGAGACACCAGACTTTTGAGTTATTTTCTATCTAGCCAATATGTCCCTCACTTCTGAATTTATAGGATGATTATTTTACTAATGTTACCATTGCTTCTGAGCATGCATTGATCATCATATAGTACTTTCTAGTTTAGTTGTATTTAGCGCACACTTAAAGCTGAATTTAAAACAGCAATGTAAAACAGGATTCATTGCCGTCAATAAACGACACCATATGTAAGGTTTTGCTCTGTGCACCATGTTAACGACACAACTTTTAAATTTGTTTGAAATAGAAAAACCTACAATTATGACAATAAAACTTTAATACTGTACTTGTACATGGGTCCAGAAGCACAATATGAACACCACACCCATTCCTTTCCCCACTATCTTAATATTTTCTTATCAATTGAGCTTAAGGTGACCTCACATATGGTCTCCTGAATACAAGAATCAAAACAGGTCAAATAGAACAAATACTTGTACTATCAATGACCACTAGAACACAACATTCCTTCAGAACCAACGACTAGCTTATACATGTCAGCATACATACAATGAAACAGTAACAACAATTTTTGGATGGAAAAATTTCGGACAAATATTAAGACAATTATAAAGTTGATATAATATTATTAATTATATTGTCTACAAATAATTATTAAAATTTGGTAATGCTAGAATACTTGATACTTTGTATCACTCATATCTAGGGTATGATAAGACTGCAGACAGTCACTCTGACCAAATTTTTTTTTTAAATTAAATTAATACCGGGTATGTGTTTGTGAAAACTCATGGGTGGGTCATGAGGCCAGAGGGACTGTTGTAGGCTATAGGCCCAGCCTTGCTAATAATTATGCATGTATTTAAATGGAAACAAACTTGCATATCAACATTTCACAAACACATTCCAATATTTAATTAAGTCATTCAAGCTTAATAAAAACATTATGCCAAAACGGGCTTGCTAACGGTCTAATAATAAATAAGAGTGCCATAGCTAAAAATGTTGATAGGCCCACAGTGATTAAATTTTATTTCACATACATTAAAGAAAACATTTTTAGCTATATTTAGTAACACTTGAAAGATGCAAGAAAATATCCCTTCTCTCAGTGTCCAGGGCTTATTTTAACTTACATAATAGATTTGAAATTTGAATAGTATACATACTGTTCCTGCAGGGAAAATAATTATTTTAATTCCAGGGGGCCTGCTTTCTTGATAGTATAGACAAAGTAATTTAGAATTAATTAGCTTTTAAGTAGGTCTTTAAAAGTAACATTATTACAAACAAACTACAATTATGTGGCAACAAGCTATATACAAACTTGATTTATATTCACTAGATTGGTCAGTCACTCTTATTGTCTTACACAATGCAGTGAATGAATAAATTGAATCACAGTAAGGAACAAGGAAGTTGTTGGAATGTTTGGAATGTCTTGTCTCAAGTGTCAAGTCTAGCCCTGCACACATGGAAAATATATTTATATGTTCTGTGTAAAAAAATAATACAAATTTCATTTTAAATGAGAATTTTTTCCTTGTGGTAAATTAGATTGATTCGATTAGCTAGATTGAATTTTAGTATCTTTAATTACAAAAAAAATTAATTTACCAAAAATTATAACTGCCTTATTCTAGAAGACGTACTTTGGTGAAATTTTAGATAATATATTATGTAAAATATTCTGTCTCGCCCCATCTGATCCCCAAGCAGAGTATTAATCAGAGTGATTGTAGAATGAGCCTAGTTATCAGTATACACATTCCTATGGAACACTTTGATATTTCCAACTCAATACTAGAATCAAAAAAAGAGAAGATTCTACACAACAACACTTCAAACATACATGAATTGATTTAAAAAATAAAACAAATAAAAAAAGTCTTAATCAACTTACCAATGAACCAGCACACCTCCCTTCTTTATTCCTTCCTTTACAAACGATATGCATTCTGGAAATTTACTCAGTAGATCGTACTCTTCTTCGTCCATTAGATGTACAAATTTATGAACAAAATCACTCGAAACTTGTGGCTTCACCAACTCAATAGACAATACATGGGTTATACCAGCACTGTGCAAGGCCTCGGTATTCCTGGCATCTGCACTGCCGCCGATATACAGACCTTTTTCGATACAGTCCATGGTTTCCCTGAAAAGTGGAGCAATACTCCCTACCGTATTCAAACACGTTGTGAAAAGACCAGCGCTACATGCAAGATGAATTTACAAATGCCATTTAAGGTCGATGTCCCTATAGCCTCCTGATTGGCCGGGTCATATTCTCACTTTGTAAGGAAAAGTCGATATTGTTATTGTCGTAGTTCAAACTTTCAAATGCAAATTATATACATCAAATTTGAAAGAACACTAAAAGTTGCACCCATATTATATTTCATATTTATTTTGACAGTAAGTTGAAAGTAATACTAGTTTACCGAGACGACGGAGTTCACGGAGTACTTTATATCGCCAAGGTAACTACAGTGATTTCTCCACAGTCAGAACAGTTATCGTATGGCTGTTTCACTTTCACACTTGCTAATCTGATCTCGAGTACGGCAACCGAGGTGGCTCACAAATTAGCATTTTATAAAATAATTTTTACAATTCATTTACATTTTGAAAATTCATTTTTTTTATATAATTCATTTTTAATAACCATTTTCGGTTCTGAAATCGGTTTTAAA